CCACCACCTACCTCTGACACGGAAACTGCGGGTGGGTCCAGAAATCCAGATTTTAACAAGCCCTCCAGGGGCTTCTGATGTCAGCTATAGTTTGAGAACCCCTCATACACACGTACAAGCGTCAGTTAGAAGGAGATGATGACCTTTAAAATTCCCTAGAAGCTCAGGGGCTTTGGGGTAGCCTTCGTGAAGCTAAGGGGGTGCATGAAGTCAGGCCAATGCATGCTGTGACACATGGAGCCAACTGGTTTCTAAGCTGGGGTGCGAATAGAGGGTGTGGGGTCCTCTTCCTGCACAAAACTCATGGCTTTGGTTTCTAAAACTATGAGAATGAGCTCCCTCAACATCCCCCCCATCCAGCTGGTCCCCTTGCCCTCTCTTGCCCACTCTCAGCCTCAGAGGGCCACATCCCCAGGCCTCACCTGCCGCCCTGCCCCTTCCTCCCTCCACTGGAACTCAGCCCCATGTGCTGTGGCCCCAGGTCTTCTCTCCAGGCTCCTTCTACTCCTCATCTCAGGGACCTGCACTTTGCTTCTCTTCACCACCAACTCCTTCCAAGGAGCCACTGCATATGCGATTCTGTCTGGTCTCAAACAGCAGGTGCCGTGTGTGGGGCTGGCAGCACAGGGTGACAGGAGTCACTGCCAGCAGCCCACACCATCCCCACCTGCCACCCACAAGGCCTCTGGGCTGAGAGCCTGGGAGCCTGCCCCCTGACCTGCACGCCCTCACCTCCAGAGGCTGCACAGGGCTTTCAGCCTCAACATGCCCTGAAAGTGGACTTGTCTTCCCTTCAAACCTTTTGTGCCTGGCTTCCCTGCTTAATAACCACCCCATTGTCCCTACAAGCCAGATGCACAGTGTCACAGACGCCTTGGGTTCTCGCCTCCACCTCTCCCCATTTTGACCTCATTCCGGCGGGGTCCCAGAGCCCTCCAAACCACATGCCGTGGGCCCCCCTCCTCTGCCCTCTTTGCCTCCACCCAGCCTCTTCTGCCCCTCTAGACACTCTTGACTGACCCTCAATGGCTGCCAGGCTAAGCTTCTGCAATGTGGCCCTGACTTCTCTCACATCTCCCTATTTCCCACTGACCACTGCAAATCCAGAACTATAGTGCTCAACTGCAGGTTGTGGCACATTTCTGATGTCCTCCCAGAAAGATGCCTGTGGCTTGCAGAGGTGACCCTGTGATGCCTGGGAGAGGGAAGGAAGGAAAGAAGATGCCCCACCGGATCTCATCTGATGGGAGATGTGCAGTGGGTGAGGGTGCCGGCACCTGGTCACCTCTCCCAGAACTCAATCACATTCTGCACTGCTCTGTTCTACTGGGAAGGAAGCTATTTTTCTCAATTTCCCTTAAAGAGGATATTCCTTTATCAGCCTACCAACCTCCTGTAATCAAGCTCGAGGCTGCTTATGGTGAGCGGTGAGCAGTGAGTAAACACAGGAGCTGCCCCTCCTTTGATGCCACCAGGAAATTTCACAACTCACTTGCCTCTGTATGAGGCCCCAGCATATCCGCCCCTTGCAGATGGCGCTTTCTCTGCCAGAGCATCCTTGCCCCACTCTCTAGGCCCCACCTTTGTCTGCCTGCCCAGCAGCCTCCCTGGACCCATAATGAGATAACACCAGACACAGTGAGGGTTCCTCTAGAGCCCCTGAAGGCAGGGGCCAATCTGTGGAAGCAGAGGCTCAGTGGGTGTGTGATGGTGGAGATGTGGGTCCTGGATGGCCTGACTCCCTGACCAAAGATGGATGGAGGCTAACGCTGTCTTTAGAGAGAAGCTTCTCTGGGTAGGGTTGACTTACGTGGTCCCTGCTCTCACAGAAACCCTGAGTAGAAGCTGTGGTCTCATTTTTTGGATGAAGACACTGAGGCTCTGAGGAGTTGGAGAGCTTCCCTAGGATCCCCTTTCTCCAGCCCGAGCTCTCCAGGCGCCCCTCACCTCCTGGGGTGTGGTTCCTCTGAGCTGCTTTCCTGAGGTCCCATCCCCTTGGTGCAGCTGAGACCTCCTCAAATGCAGGAGCCACAGCTCTTACCCTTTCTTAGTGCCTCATGGTCTGCAGCCCCCTGTGCCTACAGGGTGGTACTCAACTGACCCCCCTGCCTGTGCTGTGCCAGGAGGGCTGAGGGCCCATCCCAGGATTTCTTTGCTCTATTCCTGCCAAATACTCCACAGCTCAAGAAGCCAAGTGACATGGAAGATGTGTAGAAAGATGGGCTATGATGTCACTGGCTAGATGGTGGCCTGTGTGGCCAGTGCTGGGGGGCACAAGAGAGAAGAACTTGCTCAGGCCTGGAGGTTTCTAGAAGCTTCTGAGAGAAGGAGCATCTCACCCTAGTCCTGAAAAATGATGAGCTGGACTCAGCGAGACAAGGGAGAGAAGAAGGGTGTTTAAGGCAGAGGAAATTGTGCAAAGACAAGGGGGTGCAAAAGTACCCTGCAAACTAGTTCTGGTTGTAAATGGCTGGAGTGTCCTGTGCACTGGGGGGTAAGAGAGAAGGTTGGGGTCTGGGAAGAGATGCCTGGGTGCTCACCTACAGTTGGGGACATCATTGAAGGATTTTAGATAGGGGAGTAAAAGGATAATATTTGCCTTTGTAGAAGGAGCCACCAACAGACTATGTGTATACTAGAGTGTGTACTACCTCCTGTGTGGGAGTGGGGCGCTGTGTGGGATGGAGCCTGGGGAGGCAGGTAGAAGGATGTTCCTTAATGTCCCAGGGACAGATGGCAGAGCTGCAGGAAGAGGACACACACCCTGATACCCCAGGAAATGGATGAGGCTCAAGTGCAGCTGGATGGAAGATGAGGCCAAGGGAGGCATCCAGGCCAGTGATTTCAACCCTGACGGTACACTGGAGTCCCCCAGGGAGCTTTAAAAGTAATGCATGTCTTAGCAGTCTGGGTGAGGCAGGTGGAGGGAACAGCATGGAATCTGTAATACTGAACATGCAATTGGGATTGAGAGCCACTGATCTAGAATGTCCTTGGCTGTGACGGCGATCCATGAGAAGGAAAAGGTGGGAGTGTGTGCGTGAGAGTGAGAGAGTGAGAGCAGGAGAGAGAGGGAGAGAGGGAGAGAATGGGAGTGGTTGTGTGTGTGAAGTGTGAGGTGAAGGTCTGTGAAGTGACAACGAAGGTCTGTGAGAGGCCAGCTGGGTCAATTCATTTTGAAAGAATTTACTGCACACCTACTCAGTGGCAGCCGCTGTGCTAAGCTCCTGAGATACAAAGATGACATTGACGCTAAGGAACACTGAGCAGACATAAGAAAAGCATAGCCTGGTCTTCATCCCCCCAGGTCCCCCCCACCGTGTCCATCCTTCTATCCTCCCTCCACCATCCCTCCCTCTGCCATGCCTGAGCAGAGGTGGTACTACTCAAACCAGCAGCATCTCCTCTCACCTCACAGCCTCTCCATTCATATCATTTTCTCTCCAACCGCCCCTTTCACAAGGGGCTTCCGTCCTGCTTGTTCCATCCTGCTCTGGGCTCTGCCCTCCTAAAGCCACATCGCTGACTCAGAAACACTAGTCCCTGGTTTGGAAGTGAGACATGTAATAGCTCTGATGTTTCCAAGGGGCCAGATGTTGGGCACTGCTGTTACTAATCCAGATGTTCGGCTTTAAGTTTTCTCTCCCGTTGTAGCAAGGGAAAAAAATCCCAGCTTTGGGCCTAAACAGACCTTGATTCAAATCCTGCCTTTGCCGGTTTTTGCCTAAGTGACTTGAGGCAAATTCGTTGACCTGGATCCAGGGGAGCCTTAGCTTTTTCACCAGAAAATGGTCGAGAACAGTACCTCCCCCCAGGCTGCTGTGAAGGTCAAAATAAATGATTCTAGGAGAAGCACCCACCCTGCCAGCCTGGCAATAAGAAGAGGCTTCAGAAGAGTCAGGCCCTGCTGCTCCTCCCAGCAACTAGATACCTGAGGGAGAAAATGCATACGGCCTTTCTGCTGTGAGGCGACTTTCTGAGGAGGCTGACTGTAGACTCCTGTGTGTGTACATTTCTTCCAAAACGTCCAAAGGAGGGAGGCCTTGGTGCAGGACGGGGTGTGTGTTCCCTTTCATCCCATGCTTTCCTTTAAAAAACCTGAACAGATGAGGCGCCCTTCTCCAGGGGAGCAGCTAGGCAACCAAGCACACTGCCACAGACCCTGACTGGGTTAGTGGTTCTCCACCTCTTTGCCAGCTGGACGTGCCTACTCAAGTCCAGGGTCCACCCTGGGAGACTCAGCCTGGCTCTGGGGAGGGCCAGGAGTTCCTCAGGGCATTCTCAGGTTTGGTCAGGTTGCAGAACCACAGATTTAGGATTATCCAGACTTGCATGATTATAAGAATTCCCTAAGGTGTCAAAGTGTAGGTTCAAAGGCCCCTCCTCTAGCCCTGGGGTGGGGCTGGGGCATCCAGGGAGGCTCAGGGTTCAGCAAGCTTTACAAACCCTGCAGTAGTTTAGCTGCACAAGGACACACAGGTTGGATCTCTGCCCTTTATTATCAGGGGACACTGGGCAAGGTATTTGAATCCCTTATTCCTCAGATTCCTCAGTTGCAAAATGGGGATAATAGCTGTGCCTACCTCGCGGGGTTACAATGGATGGACTGGGAATGTGTGTTGGTAACCAGTACAGGCATGCTGGCTCTTGTTTCTGCCACCTAGGTGACAACCTGGACATTATGCTTCAGTTGGCTATGGGGGTGGGGGACTAGATGTGGTTGGGGAGGGGGCATTCCAAGTAAAGACATCCACTTGGGGCTGAAAACAGCTGTGTTTAGTGTCTAAAAACCCCAGGCTCTTACTTGGGTTAGGTACAGGTGACCCTGTGACTGTGTACTGAGGGCTCACTCAATAGCCAAGATGTAATCAAGTGATTGGGAAGAGTTGCTCAGCTGAGTTGCTCCCCAAGCCCGAGGCCTCCTGAGAAAGGAGGGAGGGTCCACCCCTAGCCACGGCCACTGGAGGAGCTGCTCAGTGTCTTAGTTCTTGCAGACTTACGCTTTGGAGTAGTTGAGAACAAAGTCCACTCCTTTCTCACTGTCAAACTGGATATCCCGGGGTAAATCCTTGTGGCATTTGGCATCAATACTCAGGGGGAAGCCAGGGTTCCACTCCATCCATCTGAACATGAAAAATAATAAGAAAAATGGGTTAAATGCCTGGCCTTCAGTTGACCCTCTCAGGCTGAAGGCTGCCCATGTGGTCTGAGGATGTACCTGCCACCAGGCACCTTACAGCCGAGCGTGCGTCCAGCGAGGTACTGGACCCCTCCCAAGGTCCAGAGGTAGCCTGCTTTGCTGTGCCTTGAATGTCACAGTGGGAGGCCTGAGGTCCCCCAAACCCAAGACTGGGCTGACAGCACAGGGGTAGCAAATGGTAGGTGAGCTGCAGCGCATGTACAGAAGCTGGAAAGGAAGCATCAGAAGACCTCACTTATTTGAGATGACATTGAATGACAACGTGCACCCAGCACAGAACTGCCTTGCTGGCCACTGGAGGTAGAAGTGGCTGAGGCTACCACACATGACCTGGACATGCTTGGTCAACCCACCCATGTGTGGTGTGCAGTGACTGGGGGGCAGGGGACAGTGGGCATGCCTCCCGGTAGGAGCACAAGGCAGCAGGATAGCTAGGAAAGGACCGTCAGGGGCAGACCACTGCCAACAGCAGGGCTAGAGGCTGTTATGTTCAAAACAGCTTCCCACAAAGACAGGCTGTGTACTCTAATCAGCCAAAATTTTTAGATCCTGGTGTCCTTGAAATTATCCTGGAGCATTGAGCATTTTGTTGTATTTAAAATTTTTCAGTTTTATTTTTGTTTATTGCAAAAAGAAAACAAAACCCTGTTAGCATCTTTTGGACAGGGAGTATGATCTTATATTTGTTTCAAAACCAAAATTGACATTCTTGGATTTCAGCTTTTCCATTTGTATTCCTAAATCTTCCTCTTTTTAAAATCTCTCTTGTGAGAGGCAAGTAAAACACTGAGAGCTTAAGTCATTAAAAAGTCTCAAGCTTTTTAATGTCATCTTGTGCTTTTACTGTCACAAAAATCCGCACTGTTTTTCATGGTGTCCTGTTGGCTCAGTAAGTCTCTCATTAGGATCATAAGAGAGACATGAACTGGATGTGATCACAGCGCATTAAGCAAATACTTTTAGAAAGTGTTTTTTTCTGTTGTATAGCACCTTCCTTTTTCACTCTCAGGTTACTTACAATATTCTTTCTTCCTGGACTTTAAGAGCACCTATTTTTGTTGTTCATATTAACACCAATGTTGGTGTTACAAGGATAAAAATGTGGACATGTGTACAAATGTTGACTAATTTATTGATTTTTTTCCCTCTGTTTTAGAAAATAATTCAAGGCATCTCCAATATATGTCTAAAATCGAGGCAGTTGTCTGGTAGCCCCAGTGGTATTAACTGTCAATTAGTTAACTATTATCATTTGTCATAACGATTTATTTTTTATTTATATTTTTTATTTTAATTAGTCAATTTATTTATTTTGTTGTCATAATCTACAATTACATGAAGAATATTATGTTTCCTAGGGTCCCCCCTTCACCAAATCCCCCCCACAAACCCCATTACAGTCACTGTCCACCAGCGTAGTATGATGCTGTAGAATCACTACTTGTCTTCTCTGTGTTGCACAGCCCTCCCCTTGCCCCCCCCACATTATACATGCTAATCGTAATGTCCCCTTTCTTTTTCCCCACATCCCTTCCTTCCCACCCATCCTCCCCAGTCCCTTTTCCCTTTGGTAACTGTTAGTCCATTCTTAGGTTCTATGATTCTGCTGCTGTTTTGTTCCTTCAGTCTTTCTTTGTTCCTATAGTCTTTGGGTTTGAGGTGAGTCTCTGGTAAGCAGCATATAGATGGGTCTCGCTTTTTTATCCATTCTATTGTTCTGTGTCTTTTGATTGGTGCATTCAGTCCATTTACATTTAGGGTGATTATTGAAAGATATGTACTTACGCCATTGCAGACTTTAGATTCGTGGTTGCCAAAGGTTCCAGGTTAGCTTCTTAAGTATCTTACTGTCTAACTTAACTCACTTATTGAGCTATTTTAAACACTGTCTGGTTATTCTTTATTTTTCTCCCTTCTTATTCCTCCTCCTCCATTCTTTATATGTTGGTTGTTTTATTCTGTGCTCTTTTGTGCTTCCTTTAACTGCTTTCATGGGTAGTTGATTTTATTTTTTGCCTTTAGTTAGTATTTGGTTGGTCTGCTTTCTTTGCTGTGATTTTATTTTCTCTGTTGACATCTATTTAGTCTTAGAAGTGCTCCCATCTAGAGCAGTCCCTCTAAAACACCCTGTAGAGGTTTGTTTGTTTGGGAGGCAAATTCCCTCAACTTTTGCTTGTCTGGGAATTGTTTAATCCCTCCTTCATATTTAAATGATAGTCGTGCTGGAGACAGTATTCTTGGTTCAAGGCCCTTCTGTTTCATTGCATTAAATATATCATGCCATTCTCTTCTGGCCTGTAAGGTTTCTGTTGAGAAGTCTGATGATAGCCTGATGGGTTTTCCTTTGTAGGTGACCTTTTCCCTCTCTCTAGCTGCCTTTAAAATTCTGTCCTTGTCCTTGATCTTTGCCATTTTAATTATGTGTGTTGGTGTTGTCCTCTTTGGGTCCCTTATGTTGGGATTTCTGTGTACTTCCGTGGTCTCGGCCATTATTTCCTCCCCCAGTTTGGGGAAGTTTTCAGCAATTATTTCTTCAAAGACACTTTCGATCCCTTTTCTCTCTCTTCTTCTTCTGGTACCCCTATAATGCGGATATTGTTCCTTTTGGATTGGTCACACAGTTCTCTTAATATTGTTTCATTCCTGGAGATCCTTTTATCTCTCTCTGTGTCAGCTTCTATGCATTCCTGTTCTTTGGTTTCTATTCCATCAATGACCTCTTGTATCTTATCCATTCTGTTTATAAATCCTTCCAGAGATTGTTTCATTTCTGTAATCTCCCTCCAGACTTCGTTTTTCTTAGCTCTTGCATATTTCTCTGCAGCTCCATCAGCATGGTTATGAGCTTTATTTTTTAATTCTTTTTCAGGAAGACTGGTTAGGTCTATCCCCTTCTCAGGGTTTGCCACTGTGATCTTGGTCTGTATCAATTTCTTCTGCCTTTTCATGGTGATAGATATATTTGTGGGGAGCTGGCGCATGTGTTGGGTAAGAGAAAGTCCCTTCTTGCCAGTTTGTGGCATTCCTCTCCTGGGAGAACAGTGGACTCTAGCGGCCTGTGCTGGGCAGCTGCATGCAGACAGGGCTTCTGATCTTGCCTGGCCACTATGGAGTTTATTTAGCTCTGCAGTTGCTGTGGGCATGGCCTGCCTCAGGCTGCTGCTCCAATATGGTGAGGCTGCGTAGGAGGGGAACAGGCAGGAGGCTGTTTATTGTGGTGAGGGGCTTCCGAGCTGCGCTGTGGGGGTTCGGGCACCCAGAGTTCCCCGGGGTTCTCAGCTGCTGGGCTAAGTGTCCCAGGGTGCTTCCGTCCAGCTGTGAGGTCCCTGTCCCTTTAAGACTTTCAAAATGCACTCGCTTTTCTTTGTCCCAGTGGCACCAGCTACAGGGACCCACTCACAGGTCTTACTGTCCTGTTTCCCTAGTTTCCAGCACCCCACGCACGCACTGTGTGTCTGCGCTCTGGTCCGGATGGCTGGGGCTGGGAAGTTGGCAGTCCTGGGCTCCTTCTCCCTTCCTGCTTGGACTCCTCTCCTCTCGCCAGGAGCTGGGGTAAGGGGCGCTTGGGTCCCGCCGGGCCGGGGCTTGTATCTTTCCCCCTTCGTGAGGCGCTGGGTTCTCGCAGGTGTGAATGTGGTCTGGCTGTTGTCCTGTGTCTTCTGGTCTCTCTTTTATGATTAGTTGTATTTGTTGTATTTTCAAAAATATATATGGTTTTGGGAGGAGATTTCTACTGCTCTACTCACGCTGCAATCTTGGTTCTGTCATACCAATTTAAATATCACTCACCATTTATCTCTTGCCCCTGAGAAGTCCAAGGGATGTAATTAATTTTAAACAGCTCAGAGGAGCTGGATTTTTTTCAGTGTCTAAACATTGAGGCCAGTGAGGAGAAGTGTGCCAGCAAATGCATTCACGTGTTCTTAAGTGTAGGGCTGACTTGGAGAGAAACAGGGAACATCTCCTCAGAACACCTCCCCTGCTCCTGTCCCCCAGCCTCCTGAGGGTGGCAGGACCAATGGGTGAAGTGTCCCACCTTGGGTGGTCAGGAGTCCACGGCCTCTCAGTGCATGGAGAGGTATAGTTTGCCAGCTGTCTTGTGACTATGTCTGAAACCAAATGTCTGCTCCTCCTGTTGCAGGTCACTGTGGCCTGAGAAACCTGACAGGGTGACCTGCACAGGCACCAAAGGTCCTCATGTTCATAATTAGGCAAAGAAAAAATAATTACACTCCACTGGGGAAGAACTAGTTGAACAATGAGGCAGAAGGAAGGAAGAAGCAGAGAAGACATTTCATTTTCTTTTTAAAAAAAGAACAGAGAAAGAAGTCTTAAGGAGATGCAATTAGAATGTAAAAAGATCTCTGCAACAACAAAATATGATTTCTGGAAAGAAAAATCAATAGAGAAATGTTAAAAGAGAGTAGTCAATGTGAGATCTGATTGGTCTCTTGGAAGACAAAATGTATTCATTCAATAACAAATCACCAAGCACCTGTTTGCTCTGTGCAAAATGGAAGAAAATGTGCACAAATACAGAGCGAAAACACAAAGATATGGAAACCATGAATGCAAACATGAAAGCCAGATACAAAAGATTTAAAATGCAGAGAGCAGGAGTTCCAGAAGAAGAGAAAGAAACATACAGAGAAGTAAAAATCAGATAAGGGAAAAACTTCCTTAAGCTGCAAAAACCTCAATTTTCTGAGCAAATTAGAAAAAAAGAAAGTCCTACCTAGATATATACAGATTAAGTTTTAAACTATGAAAGAGAGAGGAGAATGTGGGGTGGGAGGCAGGGGGGTAGGGAGAGATGAAGGGAAGGGGGGAGGAAGGAAGGGAGGGAGAGAGAAGAGAGCGATGCTCCCATGAGCTCACAAGCTGCTGGGAAAAGAAGAGTATCTTTAGGTTTCTCATTCGCCA